TAGATAGATAGGTAGATGATGGATGGATAGACAGATAGATAGACACACACACACACACACACACACACACACACACACACACACAGGACACACACACACACACACACATACACCATATACACATATATATATATATATATATATATATATAATATATTATATATATATACATATATATATATATTATATATATATATTATATATATATATATATATATATATATATATATATGGATAGATAGACAGATAGATGCAGATAGATAGAGAGATAGAGATAGATAGATATATAGATAGACAGATAGACAGAAAGATAGACAGACTAATAGATATAGATTGATAGATAGCCAGACAGATAGACAGAATGAGATAGATAGATAAGTACAGTAGACAGATTGAGATAGATAGACAGTTAGACAGATAAACATAGAGAGATGCAGTACGTACAGTACAAAAGTACATCCGCTATTTGTATAAGAGCATGAAACACAGGTACATACAATATGCCTAATAATACACCTAATATACAGCTGTTGCAGAAAATCTTTACCAATACATAAGCAACACTCGCAAGTGCAAGTCATGAGGACAAATCCAAGTAAATCGAAGTAAATAGAAGTAATTAGAAGTAAATAGAAGTAATAGAAGTATTACTAGTAATATAAGTAATTATATGTATAAGAATAAAGAAGTAAATATAAGTAAAGAAGTAAATTAAGTAAATATAAGTAAAAGTATATAAGTAAAAGAAGTAAATATAAGTAACAAGAAGTAAATATAAGTAACAAGAGTAAAATATAAAAGTAATTAAAAGTAAATATAAGTAAATACAAGTAAAAATGATGCCTAAGATTAAGGAAAAGAGTGTAAAGAAGGACAGAAAGACGAAAATGAATGAGAAACACAAAATGGTCGTGGCTTTACGGGAGAGAGCAGCAGTGTTACCAGACGGGCAAGAAAGCTACGCATTTTACCACGTTAAGGAATGGCATTAATGGCTAGTTCGCAAAGAGACTAAACTATCGTAAAAATTTTATGACGGTACATTATTTCAGTACTATCACCTGCAACATTCTTGTTTCCGCTCCCCCTTTCTCTTTTTCTTCTTCTTCTTCTTTCTTCCCCCCTCTTCCGTTCCCCTTCTATCTCTCCCCGTTTCCTCTCCTATCCCTCCTCTTCTTCCTCTTTCCTTTTCCCTTTCTTCCTTTTCTCCTTTCTTCCTTTCTCCTTTCCCCCCTTTCCTCCTCCTTATGCCTCCCATCTTTATCCTCTTCCCCTTCCTCTTTTTTCTCCCCTTCCCTTTCCTCTTAAATCCGTTTCTCCTCCTTCCCTTCTCCTCCATCTGCTCCCCTCCCCTCTCCATTCTCTTTCCCTCCTCCACCCCCTCCTTCGCTATCCTTCTTCTTCATCCGCTTTCCCCTCCCCCCTTTCTCCTTCCCCTTCCCCTCTCCCTTCCCCCCTCCTCCTCTCTCCCCCTTTCCCCCTCCTCCTTCCCCTTCCCCCCTCCTCCTTCCTTCCTTCCCCCTTTTTTCCCCTCCTCCTTCCTCCCTCCCCCTTCCTTCCTTCCCTTCCCCCCTCCTCCTTCCTTCCCTCTCCTTCCCCTCCTCCTTCCCCTTCCCCCCCTCCTTCCCTTCCCCTCTCCCCCCTCTCCCCCTCCCCCCCTTTTTTTCCTCAAGCCCGGGGAGTCGGCTTAATGAACGGATGTGTGCCTGAAGATGGCGCATTCTGAGAGGCATTACCGAAACGCGAGTGTAATTATCGGAATTTTCAGAATGGCGATCGTTGGCATGACGTGGTCTCACATACGCGCGAGGAATGTGGTCTTAAATGTTGTTTGTTGTTTCATTCTATTTGTTCGTTTATCTATTCACCACCCACGTGGACTGTGATAAGACACAGAGGCGTGGATGCACTTAAGTAGAATACGTAAGCACACACACACGCAAATACACACATGCACACACACACGTAAATACATACACACACACAAAAACACACACGTACAGACAGACGTAAACACACACAAACCACACACACACACACAAGACGTAAACAACACACACACACACACAGACGCACACACACACACACAACACACACACACACAGCACACAACACACTCCAACTACCCCGCAACATAAACCATTCCATTATTTCCTTTCTTTCTCCTCTGCACAAACGACTAAGCGAAACCGACCCGAACTCCTGAGAGATAATTCCCCGTTGCACAGATGTTGCAAACAGGACTCGGATCCTATTCGAAGGGAGAAGAATCTCTAAATGTCGGACATTTTTTCGAGTCGTATTTGGCCGGTCGTGCACAGCAGGTGAGGCGGCGGCGTGCACGGGGAAGCAGACAAGCAGGCAGGCAGGCAAGCAGGAAGGCAGGCAGGGAGGCAGGCTTGACGACCACGAAAACTGTTACTTTTTGTGGAATCTTTGTTTGTCTGGTTTTATTTGGTGGATTTTTGACATTTTCTTTTGTTATTGTTCTTGTTATTCTGTGAAGGAATCGAGTTATCCCCTCTTTCTTCTTTTATTTACCTGTTGTATTTCTACTGCTGTATCTCCTTCTCCTCCTATGTCTTCATTCCCTTTTCCCTGTATTTTTTTAGGGCAGGAATTGCAGCCAGACAGTAAATCGCTTTTTTCTACTTCTTTCCGTTATCGTGTTCCTTTTGCACCTGGATAGAGGAGGTGTAGGGGGAAATAAAGGGAAGAAGAGGGAGAGGGAGAGAGAGAGAGAGAGGGAGAGAGAGAGAGAGAGAGAGAGAGAGAGAGAGAGAGAAGAGAGAGAGAGAGAGAGAGAGGGAGAGAGAGAGAGGAGAGGAGAGGGTTAAGCAAATAGCAAAGAGAGAAAGAGAAAGAGAGAGAAGAGAGAGAGAGTGAAAGCAGAAGAAAGAAAAGACAAGAAAGAAAGACCGAGGAGAAAAGAGAGAGAGAAGAGAGAGAGAGAAAGAGAGAGAGAGAGAGAGAGAAAGAGAGAGAGAAGAGAAGAGAGAGAGAGAGAGAGAGAGATGAGAAGAGAGAAGAGAAAGAGAGAGAGGAGAGAGAGAGAGAGAGAGATGAGAGAGAGAGAAGGAGAGAGAGAGAGAGAGAGAGAGAGAGAGAGAGAGAGAGAGAGGAGAGAGAGACGAGATTGATGAGCCATGAATAGAAAAAGGAAAAAAAATGTAACAAATACCAGAAAGAGCAAGATAAAGAGACGACAGACCGGTAACGGACAAGACAATGG